ATGATCGATCGCGTCCAAGAGCCACCTCTCTCTCTTTGTTTCCCGTTTCTTTTCTTCGTGCAGGCGATGCCCGCGGCGGCAGTGTCCCTTCAACGAAAGAAATCACTGCCGGATGTGGCTCAACCTATTCAGTTGACGGCAACGGCACCGCTATCCAGGGAGGAAGTCAGTGTCCTGAGCAGCATGAGGAGAGAGGAGATCCGCAGGCAGATCGACGAGAGCGAAAGACTCAGGGCCAATCCTCTGCTGTACCTGGTCAGTCCACAGGTTAAAGTGAGTATACCGATCGGTTTTCAACCTCGGACTTTCAATTTCGCATCGAAATTTCGCGTTTTCGATAAACAACGCGTAATAGAGATAAAAGACAGTTTACAGGGGAAAAATAAAAGAACCAGGCCTTTGTCCGTTGCGGCGCAGAAAATTGCCATTCAATGCAAATATCGAGCGTGGTTCCGCATTACAATGTATAATTTCACGGCAGTCTAATTAGACACGTAAATGTATTTAAACGGAGTATCGTTCGATAATACTCTCCTAAGTGGTTCGCGTTATAAATTTAATATGAGTGTCAAAGCTTTAATTAAACCGCGGCTGTTCCGTCTTCCTCCTTCGCTCCAAATATACCCAGGTCTTCAAGGTTTCTCGGGGTCTCGTGAATGAGTCGGTCCATCGACCAAAGCGTCTCTATCGGGATTATCGACGACCGAGAAAATTTGTATCGGACGTGGCCAAATACGCGGGTACGGGGGACGAAGGACGACGATCGGGCGTAGATCGGCGATGGCGAGCTGCGTCGTGTGCGTGGTACGTTTGTAGAATTAAACGTGACACGTTGGGAGCCATGACCTTGGCTAAAAGCGGAAAGTGGGGAGAAAGCCTCATGTTCGAATCGACGACGCAAAAACCGCTTGTTTCTTATCGGCTGATTGCAAGAGTAGGACACTCGAGTACCGATACGAAATAATTCTGAATAATTAATCGAAGCGGTCGGTTCGCGTATCCGGTCTCCCATAGGGCAGCCTTTCAATCGCAAATGCGAACGATTTGTACGCGTCGCCTATGACCGTTGCACGCTTCGCGAAAACGCACGAGGAACTATCGATCCTCCTTTAATCTCGCCACGCATACGCTTTCCCGCTCACGGATTCTTGTTTACCCTCGTCTTATGCAACGAAACGAAAAGCGACGACGAAAGTGCTTCTGGTCGTTTAAGCCGAACGCGATCCATAAATCGGGCCCATTGACACCTCCTTGCTCGTAACCGGCGCGCGTGCGCTCGTTAATTACAAACATCGCGCGGTATTTATAATGCGTTTTAACGCGATACGAAGCCGAACTGCGTTTACTTGCACATCTGCATACCTCAGCTGTAAATCCCGCGATTCGCCTTTTTGCGTCGTACCGCGTTTGTATCGTGACATTATCGCGCATCGCGACTGCGGCTGTTATCGATCATCGGGGAAGCTTTGCTCGAAAAATCTGTTCGGAGTCCACTCGCTCGATCGGTTCGAGGCATTCCGAGCGGCTGCCCGAGTGTCCGCGTGAAACTTAATTAATTCCCCCGTGAAATTTGTACTACGATTTCTATGGCCGATAAGGCCCCGTAAAAGGACAAACGAGTAGTAAATAATACAGAGACTCGCGGTCGAAACAGGTTTCTGATTCGTACGAAAATTTCCAGGACTGGTTCTCTCGGCAGCAGCTGGTGATGCTGGTGGTGTTCATCAACATATCCTTAGGCCTGATGTTCTTCAAGCTGCTGACGTAGCAGCTAGCCGACGATTGGGTTCACGGGCTCGTGGTGGACGTGACCTGAGACCCGGGCGCGCCGCGACGCCCCGTGTCGTCACCGAATACCAGGATTAAAACGATAAACAGGGGGCCGCGATCGCGTGTCCCCGTGACAAAATCACGAAAAATAAAACCGCTGAAAACGGCTTTCGAGCGATCCAACTCGGTCCCACGGTGGTAAGGTTGGACAAAGGGAACGTTGGACCTCGAGGATTCGCGTGGGACAGGAACGAGGCGAGGCGAAGAAGGCGACTTGGACGCAGAGAAGAATTTTTGTTGTCGAATATCCGGGACCGACAGGAACGGACGAATTCGTCGTCGAGGTCGTTTGGGATCATTCGAGGATGATTCGTCGACGCGATTCGATTTGGCAGGACCTCCTCTGGCGAGGGTGCAAGACACGTCCGGTTTGTCAGGATGGGAGGGACGATGGAAGAGAGAAGAATATGGCTGGTTTTTTCTCGGACAGGGTACCGGCGTGGTACCCTGGCGCATGTATCGTATATATTTTTACACCGAATATTTTAATAATAATAATATTAATATTTGTAAGGGCGCGATCGCGTGCCGGGGATGACGGGACCGATCGCGCTCTAGAACACGGTGCGCACACACGAATCTCTCTACACTTTTCCTGTTCTTTCTCGACGGTCGACTCGAGCGCGGACACCGGGAACGACTTTTATACGCGAAGCTATAGAGCAAGCTAGATTTAGCGTGAAACATTTTTGCACGTGGAAACTTGTCCGAGCGGGGAACGCGGGGACGATCGAACATATTTTTCAAAACCCGTTTTAAACCCCCGATCGATCGCGGGGTGTGTCGTATATGACGTTTCAGACGTAGACTCGCCGTGGACAAGTCGGACCGAGGCACGTTTGACGATGGGTTAGAATTTCTACGCAATTGTTACGATTTCTACGAATTTCATAGACGAACCGGAGTCACGTCGTTGTACGGTTAACGTTACGACGTATCCATGTGTTATCGACGTGTCCATGTAATCGTATGGGTGTTATGTGGATTATCGGTATAAATGTAATTGTAATCGTGCAGAATCCTGTGGGATGATCGCTTCGTTCGCGAAGCCTTTGCGTGTAGCCTTTGCCTTCCACGTCGAACTGTACATAAGACACTTCTCCCCCCACCCTCACCGATTTTTATACACGCGTTAGGATCGAGGATCGTGCGTTGTTGCGTCGATCGTTGCGACGCGATCGGAGTGTATTTTTTTTTTTCTTATTTTCCTTCTCCCGATCCGAGAATCGTGCGAGGAAAAGAATGAAAACATCGACTTCGGATCGTGGCGGTGAAGGTCACGATAA